ACTGTGAAGTATAATATACAACCAAAGTACCTTTCCTATTAGCAGTTTTGGAGAAGATCAAGGAAGAGTATCTTCTTGATTTATATTTTCCCCTGCCTAGGTATAATCATGCATTTGGGGATGAGTAGCACATTCAGTCTCAAATAACCGTTTTAGAAAAGTGGGTGAATGCTTAGCTGTGCCTAAGTGTTTAGACCAGTGCTCAATAAACAATGAATACAAGGTTTGCTGGTAACAGATGGGTAATTATGCTCAGTACTTTTAAAAAATTTATTCATTCAGTTTTTTTCTGTTTGTTTGTTTGTTTCTTTTTAATTTGACCAGAGAGAGACATAGAGAAAGTGAGAGGGAAAGTGAGAAAACAAGTTACCACGTCTGGGACTCAAACCATGGTTGGCCATGTAGGAATGTCCAGTGACTTAACCACCGTGCCATCTGCTGGTCCTTTGCTCAGCATTTTTTTTAAAGACTATTTATTTATTTATTTATTTATGTATTTATTTTAATTTGACGAGAGACACACACACACACACAGAAGAAAAGTGAGAAAGCCAGCTGCCAGGTCTGGGACTTGAACCATGGTCAGCCATATGGTAGTCCTGAGTCTTTCACCTCTGTACCGCCAGCTGGCCCCTGTTCAGCATTTTTCAATGAAGAAAATTTCAGAAAAATTCAGAGAACTCAAAGAAAATAATTCTCTCAGATAATAAGCATTCCCATTATCTGAGCACTTGTAAGATGCTGGGCTTGTGGGCTTAGGTTCATGCTTCATGTTTAGAACAACCTTTGAAGGTTGGCTCTATTAACATCACCCTAACTTTAACAGATGAGGGAATCGAGGCCTTAAAAAATTATGTAGCTTTCCCCAAGTCACACAGTCACTACCTCTGATGATGGCATTCTCAGCGGTGACTCTGGAACTTTCTTGCGTGCTCTGCCTAGCACTCATGGCCAGCCCCACGTTTGTACTCCCCTTTCTGCTTGGTAATCCGCATTTACACCTGAAAAGCCTTCAAGGGAGGCAGTGGCCTCTCATGCTTTTAATTTCTCACCTGTGAAATTGGGTTATGAATGGGGGATCATACAAACTCCATTTTCTGGAACTTTATATTCTCGTTGGGGGAGAAAAAGGAATGTAAATATGTACATATTATCTCTAGTTTGGACAAGTGCTATGGAAATAAGTTAGCAGAATAAAGGGGTAGAGATGATGGGGGTAGGCAGTGTAGCCAGGGACGTTCTCGCTGAGCGGTAGAAATTGGGCAGAGTCCTGGAGGAACTGAAGGAGCAAAGCATTTGGGTACTTGGGTAAAAGGAGGCAGCATTGCCCCTGGCACATCCTCTCATTCACAGCCTACACTGTGCTGTAGGCTCATCTGGGGAAACAGCATTCCAGGCCGAGGGAATGGAACATGCGAGGTCCCAGAGAAAGCACGGGCTTGGTACGTTAGAGGACTAGCAAGGAGTAGAGCGGCCAGAGAAGTTAGGAGGGCAATTCAGAGAAGTAGGAGGGACTCAGGGCAAGAGTCTGAGGGCCTCCTCAACCACTGAAAGGACTTTAAGGTTAGTTACTTCAGGTGACATGAAAAACCACTGAGCATCGAGCAGATGAACTCCATCTGACGTTCGTATTGAGAAGCTCCCTCTACCGTGGGGAGAAAAGATTGAAGGGGGCAAGAACAGAAGCAAGGACACCAGGAATAGATCACACTGTGGAATAATTCAGTTATCTAAAGAGAAGTCGGGAGTTAGCAATGGCAGTGTGGAGACATGACCAGAACTGTGACACACAAGATCTCCAGTGTCCGTATGATGACATATAAAGGCATCATGATGTAGAGATGGCAGGGTGCCAGGAGAGAGGAAATGAGACCAAAAGCAAAGTTTCAAGAGTAACTTTGGCTTGAGCGACTAGAATAAACCCTGCAATGAGGCTTGGCACTTGGTGGGAGCTTACAATGTTTTGAAGTAAAGTGATGGAATGGAGTTGCTATTGGGAGGAGTCTTTGCTGGGGTATAAGTTGAGATAGAATCGAGAGTTGTGCTGCGTTGGCCCAGCCGTGCTGCATGCTGGTGGATGCTGCTGCGTAGCAGGGTGAGGTCACGTGGGAGGCCTGGCTTTGATTCTCAGTCCACTCTAAAAGCCGGATGTGGTAGCATGGGCCTATAGTCCCAGCTATTTGGGAGGCTGAGGCAGGGACATTTCTATATAATGAGAACCTGACTGAAATAAGACAAAAAAAGTTTTGTTGAACAGGTTAACTGTTGAAGCCCTCAAGAAGAGGCCTTGAGTAGGCAGTTATCTGTGCAGGTCTGAAAGCCAGCTGGAGATTTTGGCTTGGCAGCCTTTGGTCTGCAGACAGTTGCTGCTGTGGGATGACCTGGTGAGTGGGCACATATGGAGAAGATGGCCAGGGACTGAGCCCTGGAGCACTCAACACAAAGTGGCCCACGAGAGAAGGCACAGCCCCTCAGCGAGACCCCTGAGGCAGGACGGTAACCCAAACGATGGTTTCCTAGGAGACAACGCAGAAGGTGTCAGAAGGGACAGAGCCATGACTACGTCGAACGCTACTAATTCTTGCCCTGAGAATTGGAGTTGACTATTAGATTTACTAATAAACATACGTAGGTTTTTACCTCTCACCTTTCTTTTTTAAATCTTTTCTACAACACTCTATTTGTCCCATGCTTCTTTGGTCTCAAGTTGCTATAAATCCCAGACTCATTAACTTCTAACTCATATTTCAAATGTTGTACTGAAGGGTAGTTAGTGCTTCTCTTCTTGAAATGAAGAGGTTTGGGGAAACTTTTAATAAGTTTGAGTTGTAATACATGCTTTTTAAAACCAATGACAGAAAATCCACAGGTTATCTCTAAATTATATTTTAACCTTGTTCAGTTTTCCCCACATGGTAATAATAGTAATAATAATATTCACTAGTGGTGTCTTGTTTTGCAGCTTTGAAGTTTGCGAAGCACTTTTACTTACATTATCTGTTTTAAAAACCCACCTGAAGCAAAACAAAACAAAACACCTAACACAGTAGAACACTCAGCTTTGAAGTTGGCACCATCAGATTGCACCACCCACTAACACCTCCTTGTTGGAGTCAGTTTCACTCCTCCTTATTCTTTGAAGATTTTAACACCTGCCTCCATGTTCTTTTCAATCCTACTCCTGAAAGAATTCTTAGAGGTTTTTGATAGCTATGTCGTCCCTTGATTTGATCCCTAATTGTGTGGGATCTTTCTTCTCTTTTCTTTTTTTTTTTTTTTGAGAGGTTTTTG